ATCAATACAATTCTTTCACTAGGAGCGCCTTCTGACACATATGAATGAAGCCAAAGTCTCAGACATTGCTACTTGTCTGAACCATCTTTTCCCTGCAACATTCTGCTTTGCATACGTTTCTCCACTTCTTAGCCACAGAATGTATAATTTCCTCACACTGACCTATTATTACATATGTGTTGCTAATAACATAATAATGTTATGTCTTTGAAATGTGCTCAGGAAGGCAAGCTCAGCAAATGCAGTGCCAATGACTGGAAAATATGTAGTTATTTTAATGCTAGTAGTCAGAAGACATCTCTGTTGGAGATACTCAAACCTTTTAGAAAATCGGCCGCCAAGAGCCAGCTGGCTTATTGAAAACAATGCACTTCCTGTGTTTCTGATAGAGTTTTTGCTAAAAGAGTGACATATGGTGCCCAGTGCAGGGGTAAGAACAAAATATGCTGGTGCAATGATACTTCTGTCCACAAGAGGGAGGAATGCACAAAAGCAGTTGTGAAGCTAATAGTTAACTTATCCAGTATCTGTGACATAACATGGGCACTACATATAGCATGGGGAACCCACTAATATCAATAACACAAGTGAAGGCTACAGCACCAAGTCTGAAACCTCTTTTCCCTGCAACATTCTGCTTCACATAAGTTTTCCCACTTCTTAGGCACAGAAGGTGTAATTTCATAACCCTGGTCTGTTATTACATAAATATATGTAATGTGCATAATATGTATGCATGGAAAAGATTATATAATGTTATGTTTTTGAAATGTGCTCACTAAGGCAAGCTACAGCAGATGTAGGAATGTGCCGGTGGCTGGAAATACATAGTAATTTTAATGTTTTAGACAGAGGGCATCTCTATCACGGCCAATTCCTTCCGGGAGAGATTGTTGGAAATGTCTGATTGAATTACAACCACACAGCTCTGTATGAGCACTGAGGGGGAAGAGAAGAATGGAGCATTCCATGGGTTAATAACTATTGCATCTGAACCATCCATCTGCATGATATTTGTGATACATCTCTAAATATATTATCTCCTTGGATCTGACCTTCGTCTACATCAGCAAAACAACAACAAACATGTTCTTTTACATTGCTGTATCCGTACTGAAGAAATAGTAGGGTAACTGACCATTGAATCATACAGAAAAGCCCCGGGGCCATGCTAATAAAAATATGAAACATAATTCTGTGTTTAAAAGTCAGTATTCTGAGATTAAAAGTCAAAGGGGTCTATTCACTAAGCTGCCGTAGGCAGCCGAGTGTTTAATCGACCCCAAGCGAAGTGAGACGAACGCTGTCCGGCTATTCACTTCAGGCTGGTAAGGCTGATTCCAGTATATCGGCTGAAATCAGCCGTACATCGGGTGGCTTTCCGTGGCTTCAGGTCGGCCTAACATGCTCCGTATGTTTGGCCGACCCGAAGTGCAGAAGGAGTTCGACTCAGCCGATCCAACATCTTGATCGGCTAAGCCGAACCGGCAGGCTACTCGCTGTTGTTTGGTCTATTCTCATGAGCGGCATTCGGCTTGGCTTTTCAGCCCGGTCCCTCTGTGGGACTGAGCAGAATAGAAAAATAGTTTAAAAAGTAGAAAAAAAAAAAGATTAGAAAACAATTGTGCGGAGCTAGCAGTGACAGCTAGCTCCTCCCTTCTGTTTTCTATTGGCCGGGCGGTTCTGCTGCCGTCAAAAAAAAACAAAAAACGAACACACCATAGGAATGCATAGCTAGATTCCGCATTGGCTATTTCAGTTTGCAATAGCTAGTTTGCTATTGGCTATTGCAAACTGAAATAGCCAATGCGGAATCTAGCTATGCATTCCTATAGTGATTCCTCTTTCTTTTTTTTTTCTTCTGACGGCAGCCAACGGCTCCAATGTCAGAAAAAAAAACCAAGCAGGGAAAGGTTTACTCTGCTTGATCGAGCAGAGTGATCATTTCTGGGAGAAAGTGTTTCTATCCCGGGCAGCTGGGAGCCTATTAGACTCCCAGAGCGTCCGGGGGAGGAATGACACACTGAGAACACGGAGAGGCTGCTCTCAGTGTGTAATGACAGTGTCCCTGGTTAGCTGGTAACCAGGGGCGCTGATCTCTCTGAAAGTGGCCGGAGCCAGCCGTGAGACAGGGGCTGACTGGCAACTTTTAGCCCAGGGGGCAAGTACAACCCAGAGGCCCATGGTGCAGCAACTTGGCCTCCCTCCCGCTCTGCCTCTTCCCCGCCTCTGTCTGCCACTTTTGCCGTCCATGTAACAGTAGTGTGAATGGTCGGGTGATGTGAGGACTCCTAGGAAGTACATGAAAGGGGTGACAGGAATCTGAAACTCAGAACCCCTCTCGTAAGTTCAACAGACTATTCATCGGTCCTTACGCGGTTGAGAAAGTGGTGAACGCTGCCGCCGTAAGGCTTGCCCTCCCTACTGATCTCAGGATTCACCCTACATTCCACGAGCGCCCGATGTCTCCAGGGTCTCAGGAGTGTTGTGCGGGCTCTCACCAGGGGTCCACAGAGTTTCCTGGGTGCGTGTGGGTTCAGCAGAGGCTGTTCCCTAATTAGGCTCTCAGGTGGCCAATGCAGACTGTCAGGTGGTCAGTGCGGGCTCTCTACTGGTCAGTGCGGGATCTGTGGTAGCCAGTGGGGGCTCCCTAATAATTAGTGGTGGCTCTGTGGTAGCTCCCAGGTGGGTAGTGGGGGCTCCACTGTGGCCAGTGGGGGCTCCCTGGTGGTTAGTGGGGGGCTCTGTGGTGGCCAGTGGAGGCTCCCTGGTGGTTAGTGGAGGATCCCTGGTGTAGGGTGACCATTTATCTAGAGCTGCAGCTAACGATTATTTTCAAAATCAATTAGTTAGCCGATTATTGAGTTCAATTAACCGGTTAATCGGGATTAAAAAAATGGGTCCAGTGATGGACTACTAGTTTGTATTGAGATTGTAGTCCATCACAGGAGCAAGCTTGGAGCGGTGGAAGAAAAAAAACAGTGTGGTGTGCAGTATAGTGAAATGGAAAGTGTAAAATTATACAGCAATCAATGCAGAATGGCACAGGCTATAGAGGACTACAAATCCCAGTAATACATTATACAGCGCAATGCAGAATACCTCCAGCAATAGTACATTATAGCTGGTGGTATTCCGCATTGCGCTGTATAATATATTATTGCTGGTATTTGTAGTCCTCTATACAGCACAATGCAGAATACCACCAGCTATAGAGAAGTGCAACAAATCCCAGCAATAAAACATTATACATACAGTGTATAATGTATTGCTGGGATTTGTATATTTCTATGTATAATATACAGCACAATGTACCATCAGCTATAGAGGAATACAAATCCCAGCAATACATTATAGAGCACCATGTGGGTGGGAGGGTGCAGGCTTACCTTCACAGTCTTCCAGCAACTTGCTTCTGAGATCGGGCTTGTCTGTCGGCGGCTGTCATCCCCCCACGCCTGCTCCTCCTTACTTCTCCCCGCGTCCCTGTGCTGACCATGGATGTAGGCGGCAGGTGAGTGTGAGGCGGGGAGGAGGTGTGGCGCATCGAGCGTGGATGCAGGCAGGCGGGTCTAGCAGCAGCAAGCATGAAGCGGGGGGGGGGAGGAGGTGCGGTGTGTGGATGCAGGCGGGTGGGTCTAATCTAGCATCGGCAAGCGTGAGGCGGAGAGGAGGTGCGGCACGCAGTGTGTGTGGAGTCGTGAACAGGGCCAACTAATCGAAAGCTGATTAATCAATGATTGAAAACTTGAAGAACTTTTTCAACCATCGATTATAATCTACTTGGTCGATTAGTTGTTGCAACTCTACATCCATCCCTGATTTCTGGGGACAGTCCCCGGATTGAGGAGACCGTCCCCAGACAAACTATGTCCCCGGGAACATAAAATAAAATTTTTTTTTTTTTAATACTCACCTGATCCCTGGATCTACCAACAAGCGCAGCCTCCCGTCTCCCACGCTGTCAAAAGCTTGCACGCGCTGTGTGCAGCTTCTGAGAAGATACATTATTAGTGTAGTGAGGAAGCTTGCTGCGCATTTTGCAAAGCGCCCGCTACGCTAATAGCGTATCTTCTCAAGAGCTGCACACAGCGCGCGCAAGCTTCTTACAGCGTGGGAGACGGGAGGCTGCACTTGACGGTGGATCAGGTGAGTATTAAAAAAAAAAGTTTTATTTTATGTTCCCGGGAACATCAAGGTCCTTGTCTGCAACATTCTGGCAGAGGACAGGCTTTTCTACTTAGGCTGCTTTCTAAAGAGAATCAACTGTAAGACTTTGCACACCTTTTGTATTGATGCACCTTGAATGTATTCAGCTGATTTAAACTGAAAGTTCAGTTGGGCTTTAACACTTCCACATTCTATCCAAAACTACAAAAAAAAAATCTGTTTTGGCTTTAGGCTCACTTCCATTTAAAAAGAGATGACTTATTAGAGTATTAGAATACTGTAACCTTGCTTCGCCATTGATACATTTATAAGCCCAGTTATAAGCCCATGCAGGCTCTAATACTTGTGTTAAATGTCAGTGCATTATTTGCAGAATAATACACAAGCCTTCTCTTCATTATTCACATGCCTTGCACAGTAAGGGCTCCACTATACTTACAAGGATCTCATTTTCTTCTGTGATTATTGAATCGTGTTCAAAGAGAATTATAACAAAAGGCAGCGGCTGGAGGCTCCGGTATCCTGGACATTGCAGTGCCCCCAGGCACATTCACATCAGTTGTTTACAGAAATGACAACGTATGGGGATGTTGCACCTTCTCTGTCAATATCATGCACAGCTGGAACAGGGCAGAAAAACTGATGACACTTTATTACCCCTCCATTGCCCCGTCCCAACTTCCTCCCCTCCTCGCTGGGTACATTCCATAACATTCTCCACAGGGGACATGCCGAGTCCTGTGTTTAGACTTGCCAGCATCAGCCCCTGGGGTCATGTGGCTCGCTTCCAGCTGTGGGCCTGTCTAATCGGTCTGTATATAAGTCACAGCAGCCCAGCATCCTTATCACTAACGCTAGACGAGACAGCAGAAGCTTTTGAGACCATTCCAGGACCATGAAGGGACTCGTACTCAGCTTAGCCCTCGCCACTCTGTATGTCCTGTACGTACAGGCTGATGTTCCCCTCCAGCCGGACTTCCAGGAGGACAGAGTAAGTGATAAAACTTCCCATCACCTAAACCCAGACCAATTGTAACATCTACCCTTAAAGGGCCACTCCACTAAAAACTGATTAGTTATGGATTGGAGCTAGATGAGGTGGTGATAGGATACCAAGGGCAAGTATCCTGCAAAGCAGGCGTGACCAGATGCGTGAGCTGCAGAGGAGACTGAACCAGAAACTATTGTGACCACAACACCAATTAAAGACAGTATATATATATATA